GAATTTTGCTACTCGCGAGTAGGCTAAAATACGGAGTTCGATGAATTATCCTAATTCAAACAATCCAACCTTCACCCATAGGCACTCATTCAGTAATATCACATAAGCACATACCCACATGGTAAGCATGCTGTCATGTTAACATTCACACTCATACGAGATGCTAAAGCATAAATACTTACATCGTACTCTGTGCCAAAACAATGAACTAGTTAGTAATCAATGTATGATCCAAGTCCATGTTAAGTGCCTAATGCAGCGCATACAGAATGCAATTAGGATAGGCTCGTCTAATCCTAGGATGGCATGTGAAATGCAACCACTTGATGCACATATTCAAGTTTAGGTTTGAAATACTATGCAATTAGCATGATGCGCTGAGCCCGATGCATGCAATACTGATGAATGATGCACGCATGCATAGCATAAGGATGCTAAATTAAATATGTCCTAATACTAACCATCAAAGCGGGTAAGTAAAAGGGAGAAAGAAGAGGGGGTTGGAAGACATGTACACACGCACCCACACTTATTACAAATTCGCCCTCGCTCAGAGGGACTGAAAGAATAATACAGATTTAACTAACCTACGAGCTAATTAAATATTACAGACAATTAACTAGTTAAGCAAATTAACTAAGCTAATTAAACATTAAAAGTAGCCTCGGGAAGAGGGCCCAATGCATGCGTGCTCGGTTCCGCTCGAAAGTCCACTGCCATGCACAAGTTGCCTATGTTTCCCCTGCTCTGCTCCTCTGAAAATCGTACAAATCCCAAGGTATGCTCCATGAACACTGTGGATCACCACCGACCAAGTGAAAACCCCACCGACCATGTCCGGATGGTCATCGACCATTTGTTGAGCTCTCGACCATCAATAACTGGTCGATCAGCAGTATAAATGGCCAGCTGGGCAAAGCTTCTTGCAGCAACCTGTTTTGACAACAGCAGAGGGGAAAACATGGCATGGCAATGTATTTCAAGCAATGTTTGTACCAACCACACTCCTTATCATGTTTACGACTCAAAGAAGGGTGGTCCTTGATTCTCGGACCACCAATCGCGCATTTCAATGTGTGATGGCTCAAGGAACCAAGTTGTGCATTTTGATTTCAAATGTAATGCAAACCAAACAAACAAATGAGGCCTAAATTCTATCATACTCAATTCAAGAAGCAAGGCATGCATGTCAAATACAACCTAAGCATGCACTCTAAATATGCAACATGAGCATGCAAATGAACATGCAAGGATGCAACTAACAAGCATGCAAAGTGTAATGTCAACATGCACACGTGCAAGGCATATAACATGTTAGACAACTTAGCAAGAAATGCATGCCAAACGCAACACTATTCAAGCAGGCAACAACATGTCATGAACCAAGTATCTAAACATACAATCATGCATGCAAACATGGTTCGACACTTAAGCACAAAGAGGTAACTTTTAAGCACACTTAAAAGGAGATAAACATGGGCATATAGCAAGCATGCTAGGCTCTGAAATTGCATGAAATAGAGGTGTCAAACCTACTAATTAAAGCAAGCAAAGCACGCAAGCAAAGCCAAAACTCAAGGCAAGCCAAAGATGTATTGAACTACACTTAGCAAAATCAAACATGACATGATTTGAGCAACCAAAATCAGAGTCTTAGCATGTTAAAACAAAGCCAAAAACACATCTAGATGGCATCTAAATGGTTAAACATGTGAGCATACAAAAGAGGCCAAACATGGAGCATAAGATGACAACCTTATGAAGCATTAAAGGGACCTCAAATGCAAGCATACAAGCATGCCATGAGGACTGAAATGATGCTATAAGTGGTTCTAAACCACTGAAATGATGCAAGGATAGCATGCTAAAGGGTCCAATACTTAAGGCCTACAAGACGGATTACATGGTAGCTATACAAAGCAAATCATGGATGACCCAAACAACCAAAAAAAGTCCTCAAGCACACTAAAACATGCATAAAAGCTTCACAAAGCTAAGTCAAAACAAGTAGGCATAGTGGTCTAAATGCTAGATACATGTTAAGACAATTTCATGGCATTGTAAGACAAGTATGCAAAGCAAGCATGGTGTGTCTAAACCAAGTAAAAACAGTGCTATACCATGGAAAAATAAGCACAAATAACACTTAAGACATGGCCAACATGAACTTAAAAAGGATGCTCACCCATGAGGCAAAAATGGCCCTTTTCAAGGACAACAAGGAGATGGGGTGGTCCTCCCCGTCTTAGGATCTCAAGGCACCATCCTCACCACTGAAATCTTGAGGGATTTCAGTGGTGAGGAGGCCCAAACAAGGTGGTCGCGGAGCTCACCCAAAATAGCACAAAATGGGGCCAAACGAGCCCTAAGAGGGGTCAAACAACCTCAAACAACAAAACACTCTTAAACAACTATTTAGAGCAGGCAAAAACAAGACTTTTATGTGTTATACATAGAGTCTAAAAATGGTTTCAAGATAGGCAAAAAGACTGCAAATATGGGGTAAAAAGGGCAAGAATCTTACCCTTGTTGACCCTCTTCAAGAATGATGCTCCAGCAGCTTCTTCAAGCTCAAAACCACCCAAAAACACCAAGAACAACCTTCTGGTCCATCAGCAACCAAGAGAAGGTGTAGAACTAGGTGTTTGTGTGCAATAGTAAGACTAAACACACACACAAGGCAAAAGAGAATGAGAAATAGAGATAGAATAGATATACTATGCTAACCCTAGAACCAGAGCTCCCCTGGGATTTTTTTGTTTAACCCTAATGGAGGGAGAAGAGGCTCCCTCTTATAGAGCTCACTCTTGCAAAGCTTCTCAAGTAAGCTAGTCAAGAGGGAGATCCCTCCATACACGTGTATGGAGGGGAGCAAAGTGTATGCCAGCTAACACAGCTGGCATAAAAATATCTACAAAAGAAGATGAACAGTGGTCGGCTAGCCAAAAACGCAATTTGACCAAAATAGATGGCCGGTCGACCATCCAGAGTGCAGGTCGGCCAAACATTTGGCCGATGGTAACAAAACACAGCCGGTGGCCTCAAGCCATGGCCGGTGGAGTGTGGGGATGGCCAACAAGCCATTCCTAGCCCTCTGTAGACACTCCATTTTTGACCGTCCTCAAGACTTGGACATCACCGTTTGAACAATCGGTGATCATCCTTGTTCGTGTTCGTCTTGAGTTCCCGGAGGTCTCGGCTACGCGCCCTGCCTCAGGATCTCTCGACTTGACTGTTTTGTGTCTGGTTTTGCACCAAACACTTGTTTTGCTTCTGAGGGTGGGAAGTAGCTTGTAGGCCATCCCCACACCTCACCGACCATGGCTTGAGGCCACCGGCCTTGTTTCCTTGCCACCGGCCATTGGTGATGGCCGGTCGGCACTATTGATGGTCGGTTGGCATTGTGTTTGGTCGGCCGGCCACTATTTTTGATCAATCGGCCACTTTCCTGGCCGGGACCTTTTCATGAGAGAGCTTGACCCTTTTGAACCTTTGTTTTAGCTTCTCCAAGAAGCTGAACCTTTTAACTCTTTTTAGCTTCTCAAGAAGCTTGACCTTTTTTTCTAGCTTCTCCAAGCTTGAACCTCTTGACCCTTTTGCCTAGCTTCTCCAAGAAGCTTGCCCTTTTGCCCCAAGCTTCTAAGAAGCTTGGCCTTTTGGTCAAAGCTTCTAAGAGAAGCTTTGCCCCCTTGGTTTCTCTATAAAAAGAGAGCCTCTCCTCCCCTTTAGGGGGTTAAAAAATCAGATATATATGATATATATATCACTTTCTCTCTCTCTACATTGTGTGGATTAGAGGGTCCAAAAGGGCTTGTTCTTGGCCTATTGCACACCACTTCATAGCCACAACACTGT